TCCCCGCGGTGCCTCGCTCCGCAGGACCCACCAGCAGGCCTCGAAAGTGGTGACAATGTCTCAGATCGCAGCCCCCCACGGACGGCGAGGTCCCGCTCAGATCCCCGCGGTGCCTCGCTCCGCAGGACCCACCAGCAGCCCTCGAAAGTGGCGACAATGTCGCAGATCGCAGCCCCCCAGGAACGGCGAGGTCCCGCTCAGATCCCCGCGGTGCCTCACTACGCAAGACCCACCAGCAGCCCTCGAAAGTGGCGACAATGTCGCAGATCGCAGCCCCCCAGGGACGGCGAGGTCCCGCTCAGATCCCCGCGGTGCCTCACTACGCAAGACCCACCAGCAGCCATCGAAAGTGGCGGCGGTGTCACAGATCGCAGCCCCCCAGGGATGGCCAAGTTCGCGCAAGGCAAGAGGAGACGAGACGGAAGCGGGAGACGGGAGGCGGGAGGAGGAGAGGAGGAGAACTGGAGACCGCAGTGCTCTATTCAAAACGAATACCCAACCAAGGAGGGTTCAACCCTCCTTGCTTGGGTATTCGTTTTTTCCCAACCATCCTGTGGTGTTGGGTCCTCGTTTTGAAGAGACGGTGCCCCGCGTTCCTCTCCTCTTCTCTCCTCTCCTCTCCTCTCCTCTCCTCCTCTCCTCCCCTCCTCTCCTCCTCTCCTCTTCACCCACCCAGTACACCGTTTCGTGGCTCCATAGGGAGCTCCACCGAAGGCCCCAGTGCCCGCGCCCGCATGCGTCACCCACACCCATTTCGGCACACCTCTCACACGTTTCGTGGCTCCATAGGGAACTCACCGAAGGCCCTATGCCCGCGCCCGCATGCGTCACCCACACCCATTTCGGCACACCCCTCACACGCTTCGTGGCTCCATAGGGAGCTCCACCGAAGGCCCCAGTGCCCGCGCCCGCATGCGTCAGCCACACCCATTTCGGCACACCCCTCACACGTTTCGTGGCTCCATAGGGAGCTCCACCGAAGGCCCCAGTGCCCGCGCCCGCATGCGTCACCCACACCCATTTCGGCACACCCCTCACACGTTTCGTGGCTCCATAGGGAGCTCCACCGAAGGCCCCAGTGCCCGCGCCCGCATGCGTCACCCACACCCATTTCGGCACACCCCTCACACGTTTCGTGGCTCCATAGGGAGCTCCACCGAAGGCCCCAGTGCCCGCGCCCGCATGCGTCACCCACACCCATTTCGGCACACCCCTCACACGCTTCGTGGCTCTGTAGGGAGCTCCACCGAAGGCCCCAGTGCCCGCGCCCGCATGCGTCACCCACACCCATTTCGGCACACCCCTCACACGCTTCGTGGCTCCATAGGGAACTCCACCGAAGGCCCCATTGCTGCCGCCCGCATGCGTCACCCACACCCAATTCGGCACACCCCTCACACGTGTCGTGGCCCCATGGGAGCTCCACCGAAGGCTCCAGTGCTGCCGCCTGCATGCGTCACCCACACGCAATTCGGCACACCCCTCACACGCTTCGTGGCTCCATAGGGAGCTCCGCCGAAGGCCCCAGTGCGGCCGCCCGCATGCGTCAACCACACCCAAGTCGGCACACCCCTCACACGTTTCGTGGCCCCATAGGGAGCTCCGCCGAAGGCTCCAGTGCCCGCGCCCGCATGCGTCAGCCACACCCATTTCGGCACACCCCTCACACGCTTCGTGGCTCCATAGGGAGCTCCACCGAAGGCCCCAGTGCCCGCGCCCGCATGCGTCAGCCACACCCTTTCGGCACACCCCTCACACGCTTCGTGGCTCCATAGGGAGCTCCACCGAAGGCCCCAGTGCCCGCGGCCCGCATGCGTCAGCCACACCCATTTCGGCACACCACCCCTCACACGTTTCGTGGCACCATAGGGAGCTCTCCACCGAAGGCCCCAGTGCCCGCCGCCCGCATGCGTCAGCCATTTTCGGCCACACCCCCACACTCCAGCAAAGGCCCCAGTGCACGTTTCGCACTCCCCTCACACGCTTCGTGGCTCCATAGGGAGCTCCACCGAAGGCCCCAGTGCCCGCGCCCGCATGCGTCAGCCACACCCATTTCGGCACACCCCTCACACGTTTCGTGGCTCCATAGGGAGCTCCACCGAAGGCCCCAGTGCCCGCGCCCGCATGCGTCACCCACACCCATTTCGGCACACCCCTCACACGTTTCGTGGCTCCATAGGGAGCTCCACCGAAGGCCCCAGTGCCCGCGCCCGCATGCGTCACCCACACCCATTTCGGCACACCCCTCACACGTTTCGTGGCTCCATAGGGAGCTCCACCGAAGGCCCCAGTGCCCGCGCCCGCATGCGTCACCCACACCCATTTCGGCACACCCCTCACACGTTTCGTGGCTCCATAGGGAGCTCCACCGAAGGCCCCAGTGCCCGCGCCCGCATGCGTCAACCACACCCATTTCGGCACACCCCTCACACGCTTCGTGGCCCCATAGGGAGCTCCACCGAAGGCCCCAGTGCCCGCGCCCGCATGCGTCAGCCACACCCATTTCGGCACACCCCTCAAACGCGTAGTCCCATAGGGAGCTCCACCGAAGGCCCCAGTGCCCGCGCCCGCATGCGTCAACCACACCCATTTCGGCACACCCCTCACACGTTTAGGGAGCTCCACCGAAGGCCCCAGTGCCCGCGCCCGCATGCGTCAGCCACACCCATTTCGGCACACCCCTCAAACGTTTCGTGGTCCCATAGGGAGCTCCACCGAAGGCCCCAGTGCCCGCGCCCGCATGCGTCAGCCACACCCATTTCGTCAACTCCCTCACACGCTTCGTGGCCCCATAGGGAGCTCCACCGAAGGCCCCAGTGCTGCCGCCCGCATGCGTCCCGCACACCCATCCCCTTTCACACGTTTCTTGGCCCTATAGGGGGCCCCACCGAAATTGGTAGTGTCAACTGCGGTATTCACACCTGCACATGGTTGGGTCCTTCGTCAGGCTAATTCCCCAACCCGGTTGGGGAAAAAAACGTGGGATGACCTACGAGCGGTTTCCACGCACATTGTCCGCGCATCCGACGGACAAATCACGTCTGGGGCAAATCGGTTCTGCAGTCGATCCCCTGCTCGAGGGATGTCCGCGCGGTCCTCCGAACGTTTGCGCCCGTCTTTGTGCCGTCTTTTGCGCCGTGACGGGGGTTGCTCGAAGGTGCCCCTGGCCCAAGGTGCCCCCAGCTTTTCGCTCGATTTGGGAGCCCCTGGGGCCCTCCGGGCCTCGTGAGGGGTGTTATGGAGGGCGTGGGGCCTCCTCGGAAATCCTGGGGCACCCTGGGCCAGGGGCACTTGTGGCAACACCCGACTTTGATTGCGAGGAGGACCCAGCCATCTTAGAACACCGCCCCCCCGAGAAGGCCCCCGCCGTCTTCGGAGGCCCCCGCCATCTTCTCAGGCCCCCCGAGGAGGCTGCGAGAAAACCGTCACCCTGCGACACCTCTGTTTTCAAAGGCCCGGCTCCTCCTGACAAGGCCCGCACCGTCTTAGAAGGCCCAGGGTCGAAGGCGAGACGAGGCTACACTTGGATGAAGATAGGATCCTCTCTGAAATCCTGCGGGCCGGAAAGATCTGTCAGGCACCGCGGCCGTCCCGGAATGTCCTGGAACGCTCTGAGAGCAATTGGTCTGAGCATCGTTGATCCGATCCCCATCCCCAGCGGCGCGGCCTGGGCCCCACTGGCCGATTTACCCCCCTAGATGGAGATACGGGCCGTCCCCGTCGGGTCTCGAGAGGTGTATCCCCAACTGGGGTGGTACTTTGGTGGGGGTCTCGACTCGCCAGCGCTTGGACGTCCATTCCCTGTGTCTTTTTCGGTTTCGTGCGTGGTTTTTCGCCAAATGATCAAGGATGCTCCTCGATGGTCCTCGCCGAAGGAAACATGCACACGTCCGAGCGATGCCAAGCGAAGGGGATGAGGATGAGGATGGGGGTCGGATAAACCATACTGGTGTCCTCATCCTGCCTGGCCCACGACCTCCACCTTCCGAACCCTCTGCGCAGCAGGCGCCGCTGCGGCGCGACCGCGGCGACCGCTGGGAGACCGCCGCGGCGGCCTGGGCGGCGGCCAGCCGCCCGCGCGGCGACCGCGCGGCAGCTGCCGCCCGGACGGTGCGGGAGGTGGAGATCGCGGGGGAAGCCGCCACCCCCGCCCGTGGCCCAGAAGCAACGATACAGTCGGGGCGTTGACCTAAAGAACCCTAAACAAAAAACGAGACCCCTTGCTCCCACAAGGTAAGTTTTGATTTCCCATGGAAAACAAAAGGAAAACCCAAGGCAAACTGTACAACAATCAATGAACACCGAGCCCCTCCGCGACGAAAAGGGTTTCTTCTTCAGCGCCCCGACTGTACAGCAACAGATATGATCAAGATGAAGAAACCTGGGCCAGCTTCCCGGAAGTCTCTTAAGCCCAGCCTGGGCAAAGCGTTCGTCTCAAAGCTGGAGGGGCGAACGTGCTCAAGAAACTGGGCCAGCTCTCTGGCGAGTCGGTCGAGAAACGCTGGCCCAGCTTTTCAGGAGGTTTCTCAATCAGATGCTCGACTGTAGGGAGACACTGGCTGAGGGGGGGAACATCGACCTGGGATCGGCGACACGTCACAGATACATCGGCGATAGGCTCCCGATGGCAAAGCCGCCGGGTCCTGGGCGGGGCGAGCTACGAACCCCGATCGGTGATCCAAAGGCGATTGGGGGCAGATGCACCCCCCCTGAGCCCATTCCCCCCCCGTCGTTGCCTCTGATGGGCCCTTCTTCAGCGGCAACTCATGGGAGCCTCCCGTACCATCTTGTTGGCTCTTGCGAATCGACGCTAGTTGACGCCAAATCAACGCGAATCGACGCTAAATCGACGCTAATCGACGCTCACCGACACTAAATCGACGCTTTCTCATCGACTCCCAGACGCTAACCGACGCCAAAGGCGCCGTCCTCGGGGGAATTCCGGGAGCACGCCAGGCTCCCGTGCTGTGCCACCGAGGCCCTTCTGCGCGCCGCCCGTCCCTGGCGGCCGCCTCGATCTCCCGCAGCTTGGCCACGAACTCGCCCCTGCCAGGCCTCGGGAGCGGCCAAGAGGGGGGTGTCCAAGAGAGGGGGGAGCAAATCATGACCGGCGGCATGTGCGCGGCCCAGGGGGGGGGCCAGGGACGTCATGAAACAAGAAGAGGCGCCATGAGATCTGGGGAAATATCATGGCCCGCGCCATGATATCCACCCCCCCCTAGTCATCGCCCCCCTCTTTTCCGCCCCTGCCGGGCCACTCGGCGTCCACCCGGCGCTGGGGGCACCAGGCCGCCAGGGACGCGTCGCCGGCGGCCGCGTCGCGCCCGCCCTGGGCTCCGCGAGGAGGAGGAGGAGGAGGAGGAGGAAGAGGAGGAGGAGGAGGAGGGAGGAGGAGGGGGGGGAGCTCCAGGGAGCGAGCGGGCTCTTCCGGCCACGGCGGGCCGCGGCCGCGGAGAGGTGCCTCGACGTGCGCAGGTGTGAGGAAGGCACAACGGACCGACGAGCCTCCGCCTCCTCCGCCTCCTCCCTCCTCCGCCTCCTCCACCTCCTCCTCCTCCTCCTCATCCTCCCGCCCTAACCAACTCCCTCCCTCCCTCCCTCCCTCCCTCCTCCCGATCCTCCCCCCTCCTCCCTCCCTCCCTCCCTCCTCCCTCCCTCCCTCCCCTCCCCCCTCCCTCCCATCCCTCCTCCCTCCTCCTCCTCCTCCTCCCTCCTCTCCCTCCTCCCCCTCCCTCCCTCCCACCTCCCCCTCCTCCCTCACTCCCTCCACCCATCCTCCCTCCTCCCATCCAACCCTCCTTCCCTCCTCCCTCCTCCCTCCTACCCTCCTCACTCCTCCCTCCTCCCTCCTACCCTCCCTCCCTCCTCCCCCTCCCCTCCCTGCCCTCCTACCCCCTCCTCCACCCCCATCCTCCCTCTCCCTCCTCCCTCCTCCCTCCTCCCTCCTCCCTCCCCCTCCCCCGCCACCCTCCTCCCTCCTCCCTCCTCCTCTCCCTCCTCCATCCTCCATCCCTCCCCTCATCCCTCCTCCCTCTCCCTCCCTCCCTCCTCCCTCCTCCTCCTCCCTCCTTCCCTCCTCCCTCCTCCCTCCTCCTCCCTCTCCTCCCATCTCCTCCCTCATCCTCGCCTCACTTCCCTCCCTCTCCTCCTCCCTCCTCCCTTCCTCCTCCTCCTCCCTCCTCCCTCCTCCTCCTCCCTTCTCCCATCCTACCCCCCACCGCTCCCCCTCCCTCCTCCCTCCCTCTCCCTCCCCCTCCCCCTCCTCCCTCCTCCCTCCGCCTCCCCCTCCTCCCTCCCTCCTCCTCCTCCTCCCTCCCTCCCTCCCTCCTCCTCCCTCCCACCCTCCTCCCCCCCCCTCCCTCCCTCCCTCCCTCCCCCCTCCTCCCCTCTCCCACCTCCTCCGCCTCCTCCCAGCCTCCTCCTCCTCCTCCTCCTCCTCCTCCTCCTCCTCCTCCTCCTCCTCTTCTTTTTTTCCTTATTATTAGTCGTAGTCGTTGTCTTATGTGTCTTATTATTCTTCGTATTATTATTATTCTTAGTAATATGAGTATTAGTATGATTATTCTTATTCGTCTTATGTTTCGTACTAGTGTTCGTCTTCTTATTCTTAGTATTCGCATTTGTATTATTATTGTTATGATTCGTCTTCTTCGTATTCGTATTATTATTATTCTTCTTAGTATTCGTATTACGCTTATTTGTATTATTAATATTATTATTATAAATAGTAGCCTTATTCTTCTTAGTATTGTTATTATTATTACTAGTAGTAGTAGTAGTAGTAGTAGTAGTAGTAGTAGTAGTAGTAGTAGTAGTAGTAGTAGTAGTAGTAGTAGTAGTAGTAGTAGTAGTAGTAGTAGTGGTAAATAGTATTATTATTATGGTAGTATTGATATTAGTGTTAGTATTGTTATTATTGGTAGTATTATTATTAGTATTAATATTAGTATTACTATTTTTATGGGTAGTATTATTCTTGGTATTATGAAAATGAGTATTAATTTGAATAGTAGTATTGTTATTAGTGGTATCAGTACTATTATTCTTATTATTATTAGGATTCGTATTCGTCTTATTATTCGACTTATTAGTTGTAGTATTCTTCTTATGCTTAGTATTTTTGTTCTTATTATTCGTTTTCCTAGTCTTCTTATTCTTCTTCTTAGTAGTAATATTATTATTACTATTATTATTATTAGTAGTAGTGTTCGTCTGCTTCGTTTTCTTTTTCTTCCTCCTCCTCCTCCTCCTCCTCCTCCGCCTCCTCCTCCTCCTCCTCCTCCCCCTCCTCCCTCCTCCTTCCCTCCTCCCTCCTCCCTCCTCCCTCCCTCCTCCCTCCTCCTCCTCCTCCCGTCCTCCCTCCTCCCTCCTCCCCTCCTCCCTCCTCCTCCCTCCTCCTCCCTCCTCCCTCCTCCCTCCTCCCTCCTCCCTCCTCCCTCCTCCCTCCTCCCTCCTCCCTCCTCCCTCCTCCCTCCTCCCGCTCCTCCTCCCTCCTCCTCCTCCTCCCCTCCCCCTCCCCTTCCTCCTCCCTCCCTCCCTCCCTCCCTCCCTCCCTCCCTCCCTCCTCCTCTCCTCCCTCCTACTCCTCCTCCTCACTCCTCCTCCCTCTCCTTCCTCCTCCTCTTCTTCTTCTTCTCCTCCTCCTCCCCTCCTCCTCCTCCTCTCCTCCTCGTCATCCTCCTCCTCCTCCTCCTCCTCCTCCTCCTCCGCCTCCGCCTCCGCCTCCTCCTCCTCCTCCCTACTCCCATCCCTCCATCCTTCGCCCTCCGCCCAGCATGTCCACTACGGTGCACCCCTCACGGGGATCGTGCCCCATAGGGAATTCCTCCTGCGGCCCCAGTCTGTGTGGCCAGACGTCGACCCCCGACCGTTTCGGCGCACCATTCACGCAGATCGTGCCCCAGAGGCAGCTCCACCTACAGTCTACCCGAAGAGTAAGGATTCACGATGAGGATGCAAGGGCCTTGAAATGCCATCTCGGCACTTCTCGAGCGGGGCGCGGCCAGCAAAAGTGGCCAAGGATAGCCGAAGGGGAAGCATGCAAGGGTAGCATTGGAAAGTCGTTCATCCATACATCTCTGCAGGGATCAATGGGAGCTCGTGCATGCAGTCCCCCGCCCTTTCGGCAAACACACACACACACAGACACAGCTCTCACACGGATCGTGCAACACATCGCACTTTCGTGCGCGCTGTCCGCAAAGCCCGATCGGATTCGGTCCCAGGAAACGGAAAAAACCTGCTCGGGATAAATCGGGGCTCTCTGACATTCGGCGGCTCTGACATGCACGGGGCGCTGCGGCCGTTCCAGAGAAGCGATTGATTCCGTTCATGGGCCCGTCTGACCTTCCCTTCCCTTCCCTTTCCATTTCCTTCGCTTCCAACCAATTGTTTGATGGCCCCGGGGCTCAAAAACGGCCTCCAGGCGCCGAAAATGGCGAAGAGCTCCAGTCTGGAGGTGGTCAAGACGTTGAAGGTCTGGGGTGGTGGAGCGGAGAGGAGAGGGAAGGAGGGGAAGAGCAAGGGGGGGAACAGAGAAGCAGGGAACGGGGAAAAGGAAAGGGGGAGGGGAGGAGAAGGAGGAGGGGGAAGTTCTTCACAATCACAGGTCAGACACCAATGTGAACGTGGCACTGTGACGGTTCTACTATGTTTCGAAATACCACTCGGAGGCGGAGTTGCAAATCAGTAAAAAGGAGGGGGAAGAAATGAGGCAGAACAACTGGCAGGAACATGCATGACGAATGCGGACAGGAAATGAAAGGAAATTACAGTCAGTATAAGAAAAGGGGGCACAGACAGGGAGGGAGGAGATGCTAAGAAAGGAGAAAACAAAAAAGAGGAAAGGAATGGACACACGGAGAGGGGGAGGAGAGGAACGGAACGGAGAGGAAAGGAAGGGAAGACTCCAATGAGCTTCCCCCCCCGGGTGATCCAGAGGGCCCGCACAAATCTCTGGGCAGCGCACTCGATGCGGCCAGCCTTGGGCACTCCAGAGACCCCTACATAGACCTCGAGACCCCGCTGGCCGACGCACCAGGTCAACCAGGGAGGGAGGGCACGGAAGCTGCCGACGCCAGCAACGTGATGGGCCTGTTTCCCACCACCACCACCACCACCATAAGTTGGAGGGAGGAAGGAGGTGGAGGACGAGGAGGAGGAGGAGGAGGTGGAGGAGGAGGACCCCCTCCCCCTCCAACGTATGGTGGTGGTGGTGGAAAACAGGCCCATCGCAACGAGCCCACGGCCTCAGGCGAACCAACGCCCTGCCAAGCGCCCTCCTGGGGCACCCCTCGGAGGTGGACAAACCTCCCTTGAAGAAACCTCCCCTTAGAGAAAACGGCCTGGGACCGAAACCGACGGACCCGGACCCGCAAAAATGACGACCGCGACGCTCCCTCGCGAATCGAAAACGGCCAATTCCTTCATCGACGTGTCAGGGTAGGAGGTCTATCCACCTCCGACCCCCTACAGCACAAGTGTCTCTGGGGCCCCTGCGAGCCTTCGCGGAAGCAGGCGCAGCTGCCTCGGCAGCACGCCGCCGGTTCTTGACCCCCCGCACGCGGCCGCGGGCGGGAGGAAGGCCCGGCAGGAGCGAAGAATCCCGAGCCCAGCCATGACGGCAAGGATGCAGCCAGCCTGGAAGTCTTCCTCCTCCTCCTCCTCCTCCTCCTCCTCCACCTCCTCCTCCTGTCCCCCTCCTCCTCCTCCTCCTCCTCCTCCTCCTCCTCCTCCTCCTCCTCCTCCTCCTCCTCCTCCCTCCTCCTCCTCCTCCTCCTCCTCCTCCTCCCTCCTCCTCCTCCCTCCTCCTCCTCCTCCTCCTCCCTCCTCCTCCTCCTCCTCCTGTCCTCCTCATCCTCCTCCTCCTGTCCTCCTCATGTCCTCCTCCTCTCTCCTCCTCCTCCTCCTCCTCCTCCTCCTGCTGCTGCTGCCCTCCTCATCCTCCTCCTCCTCCTCCTCCTCCTCCTCCTCCTCCTTCCTCCTCCTCCTCCTGCCTCCTCCTCCTCCTCCTCCTCCTCCTCCTGCTCCTCCTCCTCCTCCTCCTCCTCCTCCTCCTCCTCCTCCTCCTCCTCCTGCTCCTGCTCCTCCTCACCCTCGTTTTCATCTTCGTCGTCTTCAGGGTCGGCGGCACTGGCCGTAAGGCCTTCGCAATCCCCCTCCCCAGGAGCCACGCTCGGGCTCGGGGGACTCGGGCTGGCCTGACGGGGGAGCCAGGGGGGAAACGGCGAGGCCCAGCCCGAGCCTCGACGCGAGCTCCCGCTGCAACCAGCCCACGAGAAACTGGGCCGCGAAAGCGCGGGGCGGGCCTGTCACAAGGCGTGGGCAGACCCGAGGTCCGGCGAACTCGAGTCTTGCGTTTCCCCGACGCGTTCAGTCGACGAGCGCGTTCCACTACTCGCAAAGTAACTGCTCGCAAATGGCCTGGACCCCCGCCGGGGGTTTACGATAAACTACATCAGATCAGGCAAGTGTTTTGTTTCGGACGTTTGCGAGTAGGCACTTTGCGAGTAGTGGAACGCGCTCGGCGATTCTGGGACGATGAAGAACGACGAGGAAGGAGAAGGAAGGAAGACTTCGCCACCTGGAATGGGTACGCCAACAATGGGTGGGATGCCCAGCGAAAAATATATGATGCAGAACCGACAGCGGCCGCTGTTGGGCAGGCGGCCCTCTGCCTCGAATGGACCACGTCCGCGGCGACACCGACAGCGAGTCCTGTTCAGAATGGGCAGGAGATGCTGCCGGTCGTCGTCCCCACTCCTTCCCTGGCCCATGCCGACCGTGCCGAGCAGAGGTCGGCTACACGCAAGAGTGACCCTGGGCAAGAATGACCTCTGTGGCGCTGCGTTTTGGGGGGCCGCGGGGGGACCGAACACAAGCGCGCAACACGCTATTGTCGCATCGAGCTCGGTGGCCGGGGGACCCGTGGGCCCGCACCAAAGGGCACTCCGGCGAAGTTCATTCTTCTGTCGAAGGCGCCCAGAGAAACACAAATAAATGCACACAAATCCCAGGATCCCCCTGTCCCGATATATATATATATATATATATATATATATATATATATATATACAAGACTGCAGTGGCGCTTCGCGCCATGCACCTTGGTCCTTGAAGTTTGGTATGCAGGCGGAATGGCAGGAAGGTCAAGCCGACAATGGTTGCCTTTTCCGGCATCGCCGCTATAATGATGTTCCTCCATGTTTATTGTTCTTTATTTCGCCATACCCTGCGCATTCTCCCCATCCTCCTCAGTTCTTTTTTGCGGAGGCTCCTCCTTGGAGAGCCTCTAGGGGCCTCACAAAAATTGTTTCGGGCTTTCTTAAGGCCTTCTGGAGGCCTCCTGGGCGTATTCTGAGGGCCTTCGGGGGCTTCCTCGGGCCACCCTGCCTCCAACCGCGGTCTCCTTGAACGACCGGGTCACGATTTGGAATGCTTCGGAGGGTGTCTTTGGGCCATCTTGGGCTGCCACGGGGCTCTCTGAGGGCCATCTTGGACCCGTGTTGTGCCGTCTTGGGGCCCTCTTGGACTGCCTGGAAGCCCTTTCGGATGGTTGTGGGGCGATTTGGGAGCCTCTGAAGGCGGCCTTGGACGCCCAAAGACCGCCGTCTTGGAGCGTCGGGAAGCCGAAAAGAGGAGAACCCCAAAATTCACCAAAAACCAACGGAAAATCAATGATGTTTGCCTCGGGGAGCCTTCTTGGGAGTGCTCTTGGAGGCCTCTTTGGGGCCGTCCTGGAGGCCTCTTGGGCCATCTCGAGGTCACGTCGGTCACTCTTGGAGCGCTCTTGTGCTGTCTTGGGGGTCTCTGGGACGTCTCCGATGACCCCCCTGATCGCCCTAGGTGTGCTGGGAAGGCTTGGCAAAACGCCTTGCGAGGCCCAGTGGCCGCTTCGAGGCCCGTCGGGAGGGCCCCAAAGCCCCGGGTCCCGGGAATCCGGTTTGGGGGGGGGGGAGACGGGTTTTCCCCCCGCCCGGGCTTATAAAAACATAGGCAGAGGAATGTGGCTTTTCGTCTTCCCCTCCACACCTCCCATGGTTTGCCCTATCTTCCCGGGAATCGACGATCCGCTGTGTCTCTTTGTGCTCTTGCACCTCCCGACGCGTGCAGAGCCGACGAGGGCGGTGATCGGGCGTTGGCAGAACTGGGTTTAGCGGGACCTGGTTTGGTGATGTGTTCCGGTGGACGTCCCCCCCCCCGCCCCGTTCCACTAACCGGAACTGCCGCCACCCGAAAAAAACACCACCTACGGCAGACCTGGTTTGGTGACTCTGGCCAACTCAGGGGCTCCAGGGCCCTACCACTGACCGGGTCCCCTTACCTGGGGTCCTAGCCATACCCGAGGGGAGGCACAAATAAATACACACAAATCCCAGGGCCCCTCTATCCCGAGATATTCCTCTTCCTATATTTTTATAAGCCCGGGCGGGGGGAAAACCCGTCTCCCCCCCCCCCAAACCGGATTCCCGGGACCCGGGGCTTTGGGGCCCTCCCGACGGGCCTCGAAGCGGCCACTGGGCCTCGCAAGGCGTTTTGCCAAGCCTTCCCAGCACACCTAGGGCGATCAGGGGGGTCATCGGAGACGTCCCAGAGACCCCCAAGACAGCACAAGAGCGCTCCAAGAGTGACCGACGTGACCTCAAGATGGCCCAAGAGGCCTCCAGGACGGCCCCAAAGAGGCCTCCAAGAGCACTCCCAAGAAGGCCCCCCGAGGCAAAAATCATTGATTTTCTGTTGGTTTTTGGTGAATTTTGGGGTTCTCCTCTTTTCGGCTTCCCGACGCTCCAAGACGGCGGTCTTCTGGGCGTCCGAAGCCGCCTGGGAGGCTCCAAATCGCCCCACAACCATCCGAAAGGGCTTCCAGGCAGTCCAAGAGAGCCCCAAAACGGCACAACACGGGTCCAAGATGGCCCTCAGAGAGCCCCATGGCGGCCCAAGATGGCCCAAAGACACCCTCCGAAGAATTCAAAATCGTGATTCGGTCGTTCAGGGAGACGGCGGTTGGAGGCAGGGTGGCCCGAGGAAGCCCCCGGAGGCCCCCAGAATACGCTCAGGAGGCCTCCAGAAGGCCTTAAGAAAGCCCGAAACAACTTTTGTGAGGCCCCTAGAGGCTCTCCAAGGAGGAGCCTCCGCAAAAAAGAGTTGAGGAAGATGGGGAGGATGCGCAGGGTATGGCGAAAATAAGGAACAATAAGCATGGAGGACGGATAACGAATTATAGCCGCGATGCCGGAAAAGGCAACCAGGAGTTATCGCTAAATTGTCGGCTTGACCTTCCTACCATTCCGCCTGCATACCAAACTTCAAGGACCAAGATGCATGGCGCGAAGCGCCGCTGCAGTCGTGTGTACATATATATATATATATATATGTATATATATATAGCTTTTCGTCTTCCCCTCCACACCTCCCATGGTTTGCCCTATCTTCCTGGGAATCGACGATCCGCTGCGTCTCTTTGTGCTCTTGCCCCTCCCGACGCGTGCAGAGCCGACGAGGCTGGGGAGGCAGGGAGGCACGCCTGCCCGAGCCCCAGGCAGACCGCCGGCGGCGGCCAGTAGCCCTCGCAGCCCTCCGCCCCGGCGGGCCACGCCCTCGCCTCCGCGCCGCACGGCGGCGCGTGCGCGCCCGCCCAGGCGGCCGCGGCCGCCGCCGCGCCGAAGGCGGCCAGGCAGCCGAGCGCGGCCCCGAGGTGGCGCCGCGAACTCTGGCAGGGAAACGAGAACACTGACATAAACTCGGCTACGCGCAAGAGTGACCCTGGGTAAGAGTGACCTTTGGTGCGCGGCTTTTGGGGGGCCGCGGGGGGACCAAACTGAGGCGCGCAAGCCGCTGCTCCTGCTTCGTTTTCAGCCATCTGGGGACCCATCTGCGTCCGCACCAAAGGTCACTCCGGCGAAAGGTCACTCTTACGTCTAGTCGATAAACACATAAGAGCCCGGAGGTCCGCGCGGAGTGCTCGGATCCGCGCTGGACCTCCCCTGGCGGCACCTCCGGCGCCGCCCCTGGCGCGCTCCGCATGCCAGGGAGGGGGGGGGTCGAGCGCCGATGCGAGAACTCCGCGCGGCCCTCCGAGTTTCTATGTTTACGTCAGTGCTCGCTCCCCTCTCTGGGCGCCCGGGCCAGGCGCCACGGCGTGCCCGGCCTCCAGGGGAAGGCGCGCAGGCCAGGTGCTCGTGCTGGGGACCTGCCTGGGGCCACGTGGCTCGGCTCGTGCGCCGATGCTGCGTCGCACGTCCGTCGACGTGGGTCGAACTCGAGTGGAACTGAAGAAGAATCTGACCAGAGGAATCGAAAAAGCGCCGAGCTGATCCGCAAGGTTGGGCCCCAGGAAGGTCCCCAAAATGAGCGTCTCACGCAGGGTGCCGGCGTCGGAACGAAAGAGGGGGATCGCAAGACGGGGGTACGCAACGAATCCACGGTTCACGCAGCCGATACTCCCGACGCGCCCGCCGGTGCCTGCTGGCCCCCCTTCGAGGGGAGGCGCACAGCGGCGGGGCCGAAGCCAGCTGCACGCAGGAGCCCCCTGCAACTACCCGCACTGCCCGATCCCTCCACCCCCCTCCGCCCAGCCTTCTGGATGCCACGACAATGGACACTCTAACAATCCTATCATTGAATAAAGATTTGTTCAAAATGTGTAGAATATGTTCTAAGCATGTGTCAAACATGCTTGTTACGGATTAAACACAGTTTGGATATTTGGCAGCACGCTTCCTCTCCATTGGCCGTCCTCCACAAGCCCAGCCCGAGAGAGCGGGGGAGGGGCGGGGCGGCCTCCTCAGTAATTAGGCAAGGGGGGGGGGCGCAGAGAGGGCCTCACAAAAGGGGGCCTCTCAGAGAGGGCCTCTCGGAGAGCGGGGGGGGGGCCTCTCAGAGAGGGGGGCCTCTCAGAGAGGGCCTCTCCGCAGTGCCGCCGCGCGCGCGGGGGGCCGCGGCGCGTGGCGCGCCGGCGCGCACGAGGGGGGCCGCCGCCTGCGCGGAACTCCCCCGGAGCCTCTCGGCAGGGCCGCCCCCGCGAGGCGGGCCCGGAGCTCGAAGGTGGGCCCCCCTGGAGGCGGCCAGGGTTGTTTGGCGGCGCGCAGAGGGGGGTAGGGGGAGGGGGGAAGGCTTCTTAGAAGCGCCCCTGCTTCTCAGAAGAAGCGGGCCTTCTCTGTAGATGTAAGGCCGACGCCTTCTAAGAAGCGGCCTCCTTCTAAGAAGCCTTCCCCCCTCCCCAATACCCCCTTGTGCTCGCCGCCAAGTTGTGGATGCCATGACAATGGACACCTAACCATCCGATCAATGGATCAAAATGTGTTGGAACTGTCGGAAGTCCTCTAAGAGTGTATCAAGCACGTTGCTTCATATATTTTAAGACATGCTGAACACGGTTGCTTCGACATCTGGAAATCATTTGGCAACATGCTTCCCCTCCATTGACCGTCGTCGACAAGGCCAGGGGGTCTGGAGTGGGCTGGGACTCCAGGACATCCTTCAGAAGGAGGACGGGGCCAGATCCGCTCCAGATCGGTCCCCGGATCCCTCCCATGGGTCCACCTGGCGCAGCTATCCACACCGCGGCCCGCTATTGTTTGAAAGTCCCGAAGACGGCCACAGGGAGGCTGAACAAGGCCAACAACCTCCCCGAACCCAGAACCTCGAACTCGCCAGAACCAGTGTTAGGTCGGGCATGTCCTCCGACGGGCGGGTTTTGGACGAACAATGAAAAATAGTCACGCAAACAGAAAATCCCGAATTGTCGAAAAATCGCCCCTGATATAATGTGTAATACAATTTTCCTCCTCAAACCCCCAGCCGGGCTCCAAATGCCCCCCCCCCCCCCCCCCCCCCGGGGATCTACTGACCGGGGTCAATCCAGACCCGGGCCAGTCAGGCCTCGCAGGATCCTGCAAGATCCTGCAGGATCCTGCACCCAAACCCGGGTCAATGCGACCCTGGCCCTGCAGAATCCTGCAAGATCGGGCGCCCACGCTGACCCCCGCTTGCGTTGACCCCCGTCTCTGGAGTCCCGACCCCCCTTCCGCCTGCACCTAGCCGGCTCCAAATGTCCCCAGCCGGGCTCCAAATGCCCCTTTACCAGCCTGGAGCATGTGTGTATATATATACACATATACATACATACATACATACATACCTACCTACCGACCTACCTACCTACATACCTACCTACCTACCTACCTACCTACCTACCTACCTACCTACCTACATACATACATACATACATACATACATACATACATACACACATACACACACATACACACATACATACATACATACATACCTACCTACCTACCTACATACATACCTACCTACCTACCTACCTACCTACATACATACATACATGCATGCATGCATGCATGCATGCATGCATGCATGCATACATACATACATACATACATACCTACCTACCTACCTACCTACCTACCTACATACATACATACATACATACATACATACATACATACATACACATATATATATATATATATATATCCGAAAGAACGCGTTTCACGGGCGCTTGCCTTGGGAACATTCGGCGGCGCGTTTCGAACCAGGGAATGCCCTCCCCCCCCAACACTCGGCGCCGTCGATCAAAACCAAGGGGACTCCCCTCCCCTTCAAGCCCGCCCGCCCCCCGAACCCCTCACCCCCCGGCGCCGGCGCTGGCGGCAGCCAGCAGCGCCGACGGCGAGGACGCAGCGACGATGACTAGAGGCAGCCCAAGGGGGGGGGAGGAGTTCAAACCCCCCCCCCCTCCTGGCTTCAACCCCCCCCCTTGGCGCCGGCGCCGCCGCTGGCGCCGGAGACGGCGGGGGCGCAGCGACGATAACCACCACTACCACCACCACCACCACCGCCTGAACCCACCACCACCACCACCAACCCACCACAAAACCACCACCACCACCACCACAGCCACCACCACCACCACAATCACCACTACCACAACTCACCATCACCACCACCACCACCACCACAAAAACCCACCACCACTACCACCACCACCACCACCACAATCTACCACGCCACCACCACCACACCACCACAACCACCACCCACCACCACAACCACCACCACTACCAGCAGCACAACCCACCACCACAACCATTACAAACCACCACACCACCACCACAACCGCCACCACCACCACCAGCACCACCTCCACAAACCACCGCCACCACCACAACCCACCACCACCACCACCACCACCACAAACCACCACCACCACCACCAAACCACCACCACCACAACAACCCACCACCCACCACCCACCACCACCACACCACCACCACACCACCACCACCACCACCACCACCCACCACCACAACCACCACCACCACCACCACAACAAACCACCACACCACCACCACCACCACAACCACCACCACTGCCACCACCACCACCGCCAACACCACCACCACCACAACACACCACCACCACCACCACCACCGGCGTCCTCGTCGACGCTCCCCGCCACCGCCGCCCGCCGCCGCAGGCGCCGGTGCCGTCCCAGAAAAAGAAATCGTCGTCCCCGCCGCCGCCGCCGCCAGCCGAGGAGAGGAGAGAGGAGAAGTAGGGGAAGGGGCGGGGGGGTTCGAACCCCCCCCCTCCGTCACGGGGGTGGGGGGGTTCGAACCCCCCCCTCCATCTGGGGGGGGGAGGTCCGGTTCCAACCCCCCACCCACCCCTCCAAGCGACCACAGAACGCGCCCTTTCATATATCCCTATCACGATGCTGGGCATCGCCCCATCACGATGCCGATCTCAGGGACCCCTTCAGCTTCTGAGGGGGGGCACCCCTGACACTGTAATCGCCCCTTGGCGTATCAATCTTATAAGGATAAGGACCCAGACATGCGGCGTCCTGATTTTTTCAGGACGGCGTCCCTGGAAATCCCGACCCTTTCCCCAGGACCAGTTTTTCGTCCTGAGTCGTTTTTTGACGGTCCCGCGGCCCGGCGAGGGCCCCCCGGAGCGGAAAATAGCCAACAAAAACTCCCGCCCTGATTTTTGTTGCACGACGCGACCATGTCTGGGGATGACAAGTTCGAGGCTGGTGAGCCCCCCTCCCCCCCCATCTCCTCCTCCTCCTCCTCCTCCTCCTCCTCTCCTCCTCCTCCTCCCTCCTCCTCCTCCTCCTCCTCCTCTCCTCCTCCTCCTCCTCCTCCTCCTCCTCCTCTCCTCCTCCTCCTCCTCCCTCCTCCTCCTCCTCCTCCTCCTCCTCCTCTCTTCCTCCCCTCCTCCTCCCCCTCCTCCTCCTCCTCCTCCTCCTTCCTCCCTCCTCCTCCTCCTCCTCCTCCTCCTCCTCCTCCTCCTCCTCCTCCTCCCTCATCATCATGCTCCTCCCTCCTCCTCCCTCCTCCTCCCCTCCTCCTCCTCCTCCTCTCTCCTCCTCTCCTCCTCCTCCTCCTCTTCTTAGTATTATTCTTCTTAGTATTATTATTATTATTCTTCGTATTCGTCTTATTATTATTCTTATTCTTCTATTATTATTATTATTATTATTCTTCTTCTTCTTTTTACTATTCGTCTTCTTATTCTTCTTCTTATTATTATTCTTATTATTATTCTTATTATTCTTCTGTGTCTTCTTATTCTTCTTCTTATTCGTATTATGCTTATTAGTATTATTATTCTTCTTCTTCTTCTTATTCTTCTTCTTCTTCTTCTTCTTCTTCTTCATATTCTTCTTCGTAGTCTTCTTCTTCGTAGTCCTCCTCCTCCTCCTCTCCTCCTCCTCCTCCTCCGCCTCTCCTCCTCCTCCTCCTCCTCCTCCTCCTCCTCCTCCTCCTCCTCCTCCTCCTCCTCCTCCTCCTCCTCCGCCTCCTCTCCATCCTACTCCCTCCTCCTCCCTCCTCCTCCTCCTCCTCCTCCTCCTCCTCCTCCTCCTCCCCTCCTCCTCCTCCTCCTCCTCCTCCTCCTCCTCCTCCTCCTCCTCCTCCTCCTCCTCCTCTCCTCCTCCTCCTCCTCCTCCTCCTCCTCTCGCCCCTCCTCCTCCTCCCCCCCCCGCCCGCTCCCTCCCCCGGAGAGGGCCGCCCCCCCCGCGCCCGAGCCCTTCCGCGCGCCGCCCCGCCGGCCTCCGCCGCGGGCGGGGGCGCGCCCTCCCGGGGCGGGTGCGCCCGCGCGCCTTGGCGGGGCGCCCGACGACGCGGCACTGCACCGTCCTTTGCGGGGATTTTCGCACGGACTTCTACGGATTGTCGCGCGGATTTTCGCGTCAAATCCACGCGGATTTGCGCGTGGATTTGCGCGTGGATTTCTACGCGTGGATTTCTACGCGTGGATTTCCGCGGGCCGACGACGCGTCATTGCACCGTCCTTGCGTAGATTTTCGCGTGGATTTCAACGGATTTTCGCGAAGATTGTCGCGTCAAGTCCACGCGGATTTGCGCGTGGACTTCTGTCGATTCGGGGATGGACAGGGCCCCCCTTTTCAGTGGCTCAGTGAAGACGACCACGGGGCGGGCGCAGGCCTGGAAAGCGACGGCCGCGGCGCCTCTCGAGAACCGAGAGCGGACAATTCACTAATCGACGTGTCAGGGTGGGGGTTCTGTCCACCCCCGATCAATGCAAAACCCCGAAAGAGGCGAGCGAAAAAACGAGGGGAATGTCACGTGGATGTTCTGTAGCCTTCATTCCTGGCCAGAATCGATCCGCGCGAAATTCACTTCGAAATCCGGAACGAGATTCTCCAGGACACTCCGGGCCCATTTCATTGTTTTCCGAACAAAATCCGCTCTGCGATGGTGGCGCCATGAGACGTGCTTCTGTCGATGCGCGGCCACGGTCGAAGATCTACAGGGCGAACAGCCATCGTGCTGGGCTGGGAGGAAAGGGTTGGGAGGATGAATTCCCTGAGATCCTGGCGTCGCATTTCTGTTCGCAACGGGCGTTTTCGCTCGACTTCGGGCCCCGGGATCCTCACAGATCGGTCCGGCTCGAAAAATACCGGGGCTCTGGGCGTGATTTTTCCCAACCATCCTGTGGTGTTG